TAGATCACCGAACATCGATCAAGTGTCACGAATGAGTATTGGTCAGGTTTCTGTATCTTTTCATGTTTCAACGGAAAATTTGCTTCGATTTAAATGTGTTTCACCGTTACGATCAAAACACATTGCTTTCTCTTCATTCTGAGCGTAAAATTATGATAGAAATAAATGACGGGAGCTACCGTACACCTCTGCTTCAGGTTATTCCTAGACAAAAATTTCAAGATATCATGCAGCTCGGCCCCGACAGACCAGTTATCACTCACCGGTCGATTGTATCCACGTCCAACGTTTTCTTGTTTCATTCTGAAAAGGATGGTATTAAAATGACCATTAGCAAACCGTTTTGACCAATGATCTCCCAGAGGGAATAGGCCCTGTTCACATTGACAGTATCTTTCTATTGTGTTCTTATTTCAACCAGAATGACCGCAGAAGTCACGCAGTTCGATCGGATGAATGCATCAGTTCAGCCGGCTCTATTCGCTTCCAAGATGTTAGCTTTGCTTATGCAAACGATCCGGAATGTTTTGTGAGTGGTTCACTGTTTCACCATTACTCTACCTACTTACACTACCTGCCATTCGATGAAATTCGCTTCTTACCAGCATGTACGGTTGCACCGTCTCAAACTTCCGTTCATACATGGAGAGAGATTGTCAATTATTTGTCAAAAATGATATTGTTGCAGAACGATTGGCTCTCTTTCATTGATTTCAAGATTACAAACTACTTGACTGTGCATTTGGGGTTCAAAGTGCAGTTACGGAGCTTAAATGAGGGAAATCGAGGACGTATAAAATACCTAAAGTGCCTGATTCTAGACCTCACAACTCATTAATGCTTAATTCCCGATTAGATAAATGCCAGTTTTGTTTGATTTGTGCCTTTTGAGAACATGTTTTCCGGTGAGAACAGGCTCCTGCCTATTCTAGAATTACATAGAGCAATAGATAAAGGAATATCATTACCGTCATCATTCTAAAGCAAAGCGCAATAAAGCGAACTTGAATGCTTGCTGTAAGGCTTAAAATGTGCAAATATTAATTTAAAAATCTGTAAGATAAATAGGGATTTACCCTACAAGGGTAAAGGCAAGGAAAGAACCGTGTCATACTGTAAGCGGCTTCGGATTAACCTTACTTTCTTCGAGTTACCAAACTACAATGAATCGGATGTATTGTCTCCTTCAAAGTAAAATCAAACGGACTACATGGGAACACTTCACTACGTGTTCAGTATCTCGACAAGTTTGAATTATGTAAGCAAAAGTAAGTATCACGTGATTCTGTCTTTTGAATGATAGAGTTAAAATGTTGGCCTCGGTTCACAAATGCAACTTCAACTGCTCCGACTAGTGAGCCAAAAACACCGTGTACAACTGATGCTTAGCTTTCGGTACCGCGAAAAAGAAGCGCTAGCAGCAATGTGACTACATGTGGTTTCTTTCCACGAAACTGCCACAGAATTGTGTTCTGCAGCCTTTTTAAAACTGAAATCTCACATGATTGACGGTATGTAAACAGTGTGTAGAATCTCAGCCTATCGTTGTTCAGGTCGTATGTTCTGACCCCTGTTCCCTCACTCATCAACTGATAATATGCTATTGTACCCGTAGCGCACTTCCTGAGTATTGATTATTTAATTGCTCTATGGCGAAATGAATAGCGTTTTCAGAGGAAATCGGATGATTTTCTGTTAACGTTCTCTGACCAAAATCCTCAAAAGTTAGCTGCGATTAATTGACAAGTTTATGTGTGATCTCATTTGCCTAGGGCTACTTGTGTACCTGAAGCGTTTTCGAGCGAATTCTTAATTGGAAGCCTTAACAGTGCTTTTTACGGTGAAATGCTCGTTCGTCACCCATTGCTCTTGCTTCCTGCGAGAATCGATATGAATAGAGTGGTAGTGTTTATAATTCTCATTTGGTTTATTTGCAAGGTCCAAACAGATCCGTTTCGGATTGTTCGTACTCCATTCGGACTCTCCATGAACAGATACTACTCTACCGTGTTTATGCATATGTAGTTATATATATAATTTGCATGTATGTGTATACATTTTACAACAAATAGTATATGAATGACCGGACAAAATTCCCCTGGAAGCACATGACCGGTTTCGCGGTTCTTGCCGCTCGTCAGGCATGTGTATCCGGTAGTCCTTTGTATTTTTTAAATGAAGTCATTTTGACAAAAATACACTTCCTGGGTACCATTATATGAGTGAAAAGACAAAAGATTTCCCGGTACGCATGCCTGACGAGCGCCCGGAACCGCGAAACCGGTCATGTGCTTCCAAGGAAATTTGGTTCAGTCATTCACGTACTGCTTGTTGTGAAATATTCCATAAAGACGCTTAAGTTGCGTTTGTTGCGGTTAGTAGCATCTAACCCACCTATTAGAATATTGAGTCATAATATTGATTCATCAGCGGACTAGTTCTCCCGGTGTTGCAATTGAGGTTGTTGTGACATACACANACACACACACACACACACACACACACACACACACACACACATATATATATATATATATATATATATATATATATATATACTATCGAATTATCAATCACATGTGTGACGATTCAGTTTTGGCAATTCTGATTAAACAGCCTGCTGTACGAGTATAGGCCCCCATTTTACTAAAATATCCGTTTCGTATTCATCTGATCTGTTGTAAACCTCGCAAACCATACCATATTCTGGTAATTGAAACGGTTCCAGGTCCTGCGT